TGGATCTGCCGACCCCCCCCCCCCCCTAGGCCGAAGTAACTGACCAATCCCTAAATCCGGATTGAGGGCGCAATACATTCTTACCTGTAACCATATGACCAATGGCTGTGACAGCGATGGTTGTTTGCTTGACTTGTACAGCCACCAAAACATGTGCGCTTGCGGTCTCACATCGACATATCCCCAATCTTGTTCTTTTTTGTTAATAACTACAGAATAATTCATACGTTTTCACCAGAATTATGACACTTAAGGTTTAATATTTAGTTAAGCTGTTCTCTCAAAGTTTATGCGCACTGTTTTCAAACAAGCAGATGAGAAAAACATGTCAGAGCTTGGATTTATCTGTAAAAACTGCACTACGACTTTGCTTAGTCGAGTACGAACGACTTAGTTTATTGATAGTGTGTGTGCGCATGCGCATTCCAATTATTCCGTCTTACGCATCCACCCCGTTTTACTATGTCAGGCCACGGCGGTGTTTGAGTGGGCAGCCAGCGATTGAATTACCAGACTACGATTGAATGCCAATACCGCCCACTCTGACAACGCCGTGGATCCAGGGCTAGGTCAGTGTGTGTAGTGTTATCTATTTGCGTTCAATTGAATATTAACTAATCTTGGGCGGTGCTTGACATGTTGTTACACTAGTATCATTCTTTGTCCAACGTTGGTCACGAGACGCCCCCATTTATACAAGTATCCGAGACAATGTCTGAATTCAATGAATAATTACCTGTTCGTCCCGCTGTATTGACAAACGTTCCTGACAGAAAACACGCAAATAATACCAATGACACAGTAACCTTAATGTATTCCATACTTCTAGTAACCGTGGTTCTTGTCTCTCACGTTCCAGTTATTATTGCTAACTTTGGTAGAAACAAACACTGTTCACAGCTGGTCTACGTCTGCTGTTGAATGAAATTGACCCCTAGAAAGTCTCGTGACGTCCGTAGTAATCAGCTGATCAGATCAGCAGCGCTTTGCGTTTCCTTTTTTATTAGTGTTTCCTCAACTCGAACCTGCCCCCTTGTACAAGTAAGTTAACAAATAACAGCGCCATCTTACAACATTTGTTTTATCCTTTCGTTTTTTGCAGAACTAGGTATAACGATATTATGACATCATTGCGAGAAATTTTGGGGAAAAATGTAAAGATATTTAGAAAAGTCGAATTTACTCTCGGATAATAACAATGAAGGATGTCAACTAATGTTATCATGTCGTGCCAGATTAGTTGACATTTTTTACAAAAAAATAGATGTGTGAAAAAAACACAGAACTGATGTTTAAAAATATAGGTATTTTCGAACTGTATTGCCCAAGGCACATCAACCCCTAACACTGTCACTAGATGCAAATCACCGTGATAAATATTGTTTATGTGATTGTGGGCTCGGTATGGAGCACCTACACTGAAACTACATTTGAAATTTTAAAAAAATATAAAAGCTCTGTAACCTCCTCCCAGCGATTCATTGTAGAATGACGCAGAAGACGAAAATCTTTCAGATCAAATCAATATTGTAAACAAACCCATTTATGTCACGTAACTTGAATTTCTCAGTCGCTAGGGGCGCCATTTATAGTAAAAGTATATTCAAACGTTATACTAGTACTATTGTATTATGCGGCAATTACCTAGGGGAATAATCGACAATTAACACTAGAACACAAAAAGCACTTATTCCAGTGAGGACATCGGTGAGGGAATGCTACAGTAACACGCGACCTTATTTTTTGTATTCATCACTCCATTGTTTTTACGCGCACCAAAGTTACATAACACATTCACACAGCAAGGTTCACGCCAGAATTATGCAAATTTATACAGTTGGTACTGGATCTTTAAAAATTCCTTTATCGTGACATCTTCCATTCACAATTTTAAAAATAAACACTGTTACACCTGGAGTGAATTATAATATATTTAAACTCGTGACTTAAAATGCAGAGGTCTATATAAAACCACAATCTGGCGATGAACTCGTCCAATAATATGAAACTCAGTAAATTCACAGCTGATAAACAAATAGTGTATTCATAATTTCGATACTTGTAAGCATGGTACCAAATAACTTACTCCATAAGGTTTATTGCTGTATTTACGTCAGAGTATATTTCACACACATGTGCACCTGCGACATAATAAAAAACATTGATATTCCTTGTTTGAACCTCCATGTTTGAACAAATAGAAAACGCAATATACAATGTGAAAATGTACGCGAGATTCACGCGAGATTCACGCTATTAGGCACCATCGTTATAGTAATAATAATAATAATAATATTTATTAGAAATTTGTTATTCCATTATGTCGAATATCTCTGACCAAATAATCCCCAAACTAGCAATGTTTGTACATAAAGCACAAATTCTGAGACAAGAATGTATTAACACGACCTCAGGAAAGAATAGTTATGTATTTATTTTTCTATGTATTTTGTGAAATGGTTGGTGGCCTTTAAGAACAAATAAAGATTCATAATAATATTCATTAAGCCGTTGGAACGGCAACAAGAGCAAATAAAAGAAGATAAAAATCATACATATCTGAGACTGAATACAAATTGAATTTGACAATAAATTTCATGGTGAATTCATACAACTTTCATTTCTGTGTTTACAAAGATGTTTAAGAAATGTTCGTACCTCTTCAAAAACAATCTCCCCCAATTCATAATCCATGGAATGTCACCAAATAGCAAATGGAACTTGAAATTCACACCCTCCCCTCTGAGAGAAGGCAATTTTTTTTGTATGGCCTTCCTCAATATTCGAAACTATTTTGATCAAATCCGAGTAAAATTTATTTCTTAATTGGAATGTTGCATTGCGTAAAATGTTTCAATTCATTTTATTCACTTATTTTATATAAGCTTTTAATCCACTGTTTATTAGTTTCTGTTTCTGTCACATAAACATGGTCCAGTACATTAGAAACAAGTATGTTGTTTATATATTTTTGCCAATTCCAGATAAGCTTACAGATATTTTCCTGAGATTTGTGTACTCTATAAAAACAACTTTATTGCTGACAGTCATAACTTTTTAGCTTTGTGTGTGAATGCATGCCGAGATATGATAAAGCGTGGTATGACATCATTTCAATCTCGTGCTATCATGTACATGCCCTCTGATGGAAGAACTGTTAGTCTTCAAAAGACCACGGTAACTACAGTTACGGTCGCTGTCACAATCAAACGACATCCTCACCCGGCCCAGGCCTCACAACGTGGATTATATACGGTGATTTAAAATAAAGGGTGGGGGTCGTCGCGCGGCGCGTGTTCGAATTTCATGTAAACATGGTATTTCACACTACGTCACTATATGAGTGAAGACCACCGCGCAATTCGTGAGTAACTTTAAAACCATGTATAATGAGTAATGGGTGATGATTACTTACTAGCTGGACGGACAAGAATTCGGTAAAACAAACCAGTTAAAAGTAACACGTATTGTGTTTCATCTGCCGAAAAAGTAAAAATGTGCAGGATGGAATAAATTACTGCAAGATAGCAGTGAACGGAATACGGGAACCTTCTAAAACACGAAGTGTTTTGATTTCAAGAAACTGATAATGTCACTCACACCATGATTACATTCACCGCACAATCGAAATAACAAATTTCCCAGAATTCCATGAATCTTGTGAAACACGTTGAAAGAGCTGAATACATTCTTAGCGCATTTGGCCCCATGTATTAACAACAATTATCAACTATCTTACTATGGGAATATACCCTCTGTTAAATTAGCTACATCTTCAATTAGTTTAATTACAGTTTATTTAAATTAGCTAAAATAACATGCTAGTTACAGTATACAAGAATATTTTTGGAAGGATATAATTGAAAAAAATATTCATCCATTGGACTTCAACTTGAAATTGGTATAGTTTATAATTAAATCACTAATTATTTAAAATAAGGCTGTAATGCGGGTATTACATAGGCATATAATATCTGAAATAAAAAAAAATACAGGATTATAGTACGAAACCAGCGGACTTAAATACGAACCAGTGTTTTCCGACACTATTCAAGTTGGACGCCAATGACCAAGCAGTAATCGGCAGTCAACATTTTGTTTGTTATATATGATAATCTCTTTTAAAAATGAATCATTAAAGGAACTTATTATTAAACAATAAAAATGCCACAGTTGCAGTTGGTCCAGTCTAGTGAACTGGAAGTCACATTGCAGCTCTCGGTGTTCGAACACCTTCCTCCGCTCAATATAGATTTCCAGTGCTCTGCTGGGTCCCCTGCCGACCATGACGCCCGAGTAATGTTACCGTGTCACTTTTTTAGTATTTAAATTAACCATGTCCCTGGTTCTCCAACTTGTCCCTGATCGATGATCCCACTGACTTACCAATTTTGTATGTACTACTATTAAAGTACGTTCATTATTAATAGCATTGAATTGTTAGTCCAGACAAACCACCTGAATTGTAACCTTTTCATGAACCCCCTTCTCTGGTCAATGACCCCGTTGATATGCCACTACGATTATACCAACATGACTATGATAGTTTCTTCGACAAACAATGGCCTACGCTCTCGTTGCCAGTTTTACGTAATATTTGGCCTATTCGTGTCACAGTGATAGAATGAGTGTTCTTTACTTTTGTTGGAAATACCATTTGAAGCTCAGTATTTCGGGAGCACCTCTAAAAACCTCGCATACCGAATGATTCAATCAATCACACACATATATCTTCACATAGATAACAATTCCTGAACCAAACTAACCAATCCTGCAACTAAACCTATACACATGTATTGCAGGCACTGTGAAGAATTTGGCTTTTTGTCGCTTTTCTGTGTTAGAGCGCACATTTCTAAGCTGGTTTCGCAACATTTCGCAAAATCGTGTTAAATATTCGCTTTTCACGAAATAAATGAATTTGAAATAACAAAACAGAGTAGCGGAGTAGGGAACAGAGGCACTAACAATCAAAACTCACATGAGGGGGTTTGTCCCCCAGGTTTGCAATTGTCCACAATGAATGGGCCGAATGTTATGTAAAATTGCCAGTATGAACGTCATCGAATGGCCGTGTTGGTAATGTCGTTCTGGTAAGTCAACAGGGTCATTGACCAGTAACGGGGTTCATAGTGGTTTGTCTGGCCATCGTCAGAGCGTGGGGTGACGGCGAGCGTAACCGTAGTTACTGTAGTCAATGCGTGCGCCATGAGTGCTTGGTCACGTGAACCCCACGCCAATACCAATTGCGTATCACGCCTTCTCGGGTCTGTATGCACAGTGGAAGAGTGTTGTCGCTTCGTTTCGTTCCAAATGCTATTTAAAAAGAACATCCTTCTTTAATTAAACAAGTCTGAATGAGATTGTGATAAAATCGCGGTTTGTACAACTTAAAAGAGTACGATGTGTGTATGTCTCAACTCAAACGTGATACAAAACGCCCAAAAATATAAATAGCAGTTATATTATTTTGTCTACCAAGTTTAGGCGAGATATAGAATGATGATTAATTTGTGTTTTTCGTCGATAAGACTACTTGGGTGGAATACAGTAATTGAAAATATTTAAATATCAATTAAACATTTAAACCCGTACGTTTTTTAATAGAAGTTGACAATCATATAACATGATTACAGAATGTTATTGGTTAATGGCGCACTGTGATATGTTAATATTACATATGCGTCAAATGCTTATTTTTTTTATTAAAAGTACTCCAAGTATATTTATAGTCAATCTGATTAAAATCTGATGTAGTGTACGGGCTTTAATTATTTTGGCTATAAACTTATTTTAATTTTATTTTTTATTACTTTTGTTATTAATGCCCTTTTATTTTATTTTATTATTTTACTTTGATTT